GATCGCTTGAAGTTGTCTGTTGAACATCCATCCATCGCATAACGAACAGAAAGGCAGAATTGACACAATTTGAAGATGAAAGTTGCCGTGTACTTTGTACTACTAATTACAGGTTTGCATATTCTTACATTATTCGTCAATTAAGKCCTGTTTACACGATTTTTGAAGCGCGATTGTTTCGCGACAATCGCCTGAGTTTCGAACTTGCTTGAAGTTTAGCTGCAACAATCGCAGGGCTGTTTATACGTACGATTTGAGTTGCGCGATAGCAAAGTGGCGATTGTCGCGTGACAATCGATCAATTTCAAAGAGCGTTATTGAGTGCTGTTAAGTAGCCAAAAGCCACCTTTTTCTTAGTTTAGTTTCGATGATGTGTCCGATCCCGACTCAGTTTCTCATTCATCAAGTGTACTTGAATGTTTCATATTTTATCTAATTTCAATACTATTTTCTTGATCACCAAAATGCACATCAAGTTGATCGAGTTTGCAGTATCAAATCGTTTTTGAATGGCTGTATTTGAGGTGAGATGTCATGAAACAGTTGCGATAGAAAGATAGGTTAGACACAGCAAAAAGATTCTGACTTTTTGTCGGACGCAAGTSCCTCGCCTGACTGAAAAGAACTTAGTTTGATACTGAATTGTGCGCATGCGTTATTGATCTTTTTCACTGGCTGCGTCTTCCTGGGCAGTTCAAATCAGTCCAAATTGCAAACAAATTATAAAAAGATCACTAGACTCTTGMCTTAGAGCACACTCTGTGTGTCTTTGGTTATGCGATCAGTCTTCGTCGTGCCCGATATCCTTTTTTCTCAGCCTMAACATCCCGCAATTATTATTATATTTCATTAAATGTAGCTTTATAATAATATTTTATCTAAAATACTTGTGTTGCACAACAAAATACACAACAATGCTTGTCGAAGCATTCAAAATATTTTAGAAGAACTGTATAGCTGATACTATTATAAATGAGTTTCATTTTCCGAGTGTTTTTATTACGAAGGGAAGGCTTGAGATTAACTTGCCATACATGCAAACAAAAGCACAATGCACACGCGTCAGCACACGGCTGTTTCATTCCCACAATTTCGCAACAGTAGATTCCACTGAGCAAGCTTATATAGCTATTCCATTTAACAAATCGAATTCGCTTTTCTATGGTCTGTTCGCTTATCGACAATGAAAATGGCGTCAGAAAATGATCAAAACTCAAGCGCCGGCTCCGTGCGCGAGCGATTCGTCATTTCATCGGTCTGTCCTAGGATCGACAATGGCTCTCGACCAATCAGCACGCGAGAATTCTACAAGTTATGGTAAAAAAAAGGTTGTGGAATAAAATAGCGAATTGCAATTGCATGCAGTTGAACGGAAATTGCACGTCCGAAAGTAGTTTTGCTAAATGATTTATACTGTAAGTCTGTGGTAAACATTAACTCCATTTATTAACTCCATTTCTATGCAAGGTGAAATCAATAAGTGAAATTTGTTTGCCAAAACAGTGTATAGTCCCTTTCGGTCGTGCAATCTTCTTCGACAATTGCCGTTAGCCGTTCTCCCGACAAACGTTTTTTTTGAAATAGCGCTGTATACGAAGGGGTCTCAAATGCGGATTATCCGTGAGTCGTGAAACGGCTAAAAAATCAACCGTGAGGCGGGAAAATGAGCCGAAAAATATACGTAAGTAGTGGATATTGTTTATAGAGTGAACCGTCAATTTTTGTTCCTCTTAAGTGCAGTTGAAAATCAGTATTCCGCAGTTGAAAATCAGCATTCCGCACTCTTAAGCCCTTTTTTAGCGTTTTTAAAAGGTAATTTCCAAGACTGGGTAAATCTTCCAAAAATTGGACAACAGTTATAGACAAGGAAAAACAGCAAATGCAATCAAATGCAATGAAACAGCCGTGAGCTTCAGTCGCTTTTGCTGCTTAGAGCTACATTTAGTCAATATTAAGATTGTATGAGACTTGCGCAATTTCATGGAAATATTTATTATCGAATGGACAGAAAGATAGAAAGATCTCCCACT